CCCGCGTCTCCTGCATCGGCAGGCGGACTCTCAACCACTGCGCCACCAGGGAAGCCCAACACCTTACTTTTAATGTCAATCATACCTCAATTTAAAAAAAAAGTATTTACAAAAAACAGGTGGAGGCTGGATTTGGCCTCCCGGCCATAGTTTGCAAACTCCAGGTCTAAACTGAGTCAATGACAGCAGTGGTGACAAGGTCCCTAATGGGGCTAATCCTCAAGCAGTGAGTGGATGGAGGAGTTTAGGGTGACACCAGATTTATGGCTTAGTGCTGCCAGGAATTGTTCAAATGTTTGTCAAGTTTTATCTGAACCAAGTCTCCAAACCATCCTACAAGGCAGGGATTTTTGGCTTTCCCAATTTATAGAGGAGAAAACCAAAGCACTGAGAGTTAAGGAGGCTTATCCAATCCCCCATCGTTGGTAGGAGAGCCAGGATTTGAAGCCAATAATGCTGTTAATCGCTATACTAAAGCAAAGGCTTTGAAGCCAAAGAGAACTGGATTTGAATCCTAGCATGAAGACTTGCTAGCTGTTTATCTGGGGCTAAGGGTCCAATGACCTTCAGAAAATAGCTGCAACTCTATTGCAAGGATTTCATGAGATAATGCATGTAACGTATATAAAAGACCTACTACGGAGGCTGGCTACTCAGTAACTAGGAGTCCTTTTTATTACAGAGTCACTGAGAAAACAGAAGTGTAATTTACTGGACTAGAAAATAGAAGAGCAGATCAGGAAGTGAAGATGATGAGCTCCATTCGGGCATGTTGACTTTAAGGTATCCACAGATGGTAACGTGGAGACCCTCAAAAGCAATTGCCGGTGTGGATCTGGAGCACAGGAGACAGAGCCAAGCTAAAGATATTAGCTTAGGCAACCATGAAGCCACTGGTAAAAATTTCGCAGTGCCAAGGCACATGATGAGCACACCATAAACATTTTAATAGATAAATGAATGAAAACAGTTTAACATAAAAAGAGATAAGGGTCGCAGTAGAAACTTGTAAAGAACTCTTACCAGCTCCCCTAACTATACTTTTATGAAACTATTTCTGCCAAACAACAGTTGTAAAAACCACTGGGTGAAAGAATGTTGGTGAAAAAGATGTATTCACATATATCATCCCATAGATGACTTGATAATGACAAAGGGGAGAAAATAATGGATACATCTAGCATATACTGCCATAACCAAGTGATCAAACTGAAGGTCACCTATGATGGGCATTCTGACATCAAGTCCAGATGCAATACACTGAGAAGAGCACATCTCTGTAGTATTATTGCCAAAATTGCTTAAACTGAATCTAATTATGAAAGAAAACAACTAGAAAAATCCATAGTGGGAACATTCTGCAAAACAACTGGCCTTCAAAACTGGCCTTAATATCATGAAAGATTAAAAAATTGAAAAGCTGTTGTAGATTAAAGGCGATTAAGGAGGCATGACAACAAAATCCAGTGTGTAATCCTTGATTGAAAAAAATCAACTATAAAGCGTATTGTTGAGATACTTGGGCAAATTTGAATACAGACTATATTTGACAATAGCATTGCATTCATTTTAAATTTGCTGAGTGTTATCATCTTATTGGGGTTATGTAGGGACATGTCTTTGTTTGGGGGTGATATTTGCTTAAATATTTAGGGATAAAGTCTCAGGATGTTGGCAAATAACTCTAAACGGTTCAGC